TAACCCTCTTTGTTCGCTCTTTGAAAACTATATATCAATAAATAAGTTCTGAGTATAATGATAAAGATTAAGACGAGAGATCTCGGTTGAAATAATACTATACAATCAGCCGGTTTCGCCAAATTTTATTAAAATATACATTCTTAACATAATGTTAGTTAATAATTCATTTAAATTTAACATCCGGTTAAATTAAGTAAGTTTCATCATAACATTATTATTATTAAATTTTATTTGTGAAGTTAACAAAATGGTAGTTGGGTTACCAAAGCGGTTACCTTGATTCCAACGTTCTCATTGGTTATCACGAAATGTGGTAACTGATAAGTGATAATATTATAATTTTATATTTAAATCACAATTAGTAATGTATAATTCGATGTATGACACTTAAACATGCCAAATAATTTTTTAACAAGCTGATTTCGGCTGATTAACTTAACAATCGTTTTAACAAGGTGTTAAGGCTAATAAATCTCGACTGAACCCAATTTTCACTAAACAATTGTTAAATATAATTAACAATAAGTTAAATCCTTATCAAATATTGGTGAAATCAGCTGAGTAAGTATTATCTCATTGGTGCCTTATACTACTATGAATACTTAAATAGGTATTTGTGTCATCTTGTTTTAAGTGTTACATAAATCAACCCAATCTTGTCGAACCTAAATAATGAATACATTCATATAAGTTTTATTTAATTTTACAAACTGAAAATTTAACAATCAAAATTTCAAAAAAAAAAAAATTGCTGCTGGAATTACTAACACATGATTTACCTATAAAAAAATCATGCTACCTGCATGAACAAATGACTTGAAAGTTGAAACAGATAACCAGTGTGGGTTGTTAACACTTAATAAGAAGGAATTCCGACATATGACTCAGAGAGAATGAGCTGATTTAGCTACCTTATGTTTTAAACGCATAGTTTCATAATTATTTACATTATTTTATTATAATTTTGTTTTTTAATAATTATTGTATTTGATTGCTTTGGTTTCTTCTTTATAGGAGAGCACTTATCTTGTATAATAATCTTGATGTTAGTTTTGTTCGTTTGTTATCTTTCCAAGTCCACTAGAACCAAAAACTACCCAAATTTGCATTGGTTCATAACATTAATAAAACATTGTTACATATTTTGTTTAGTGTTTATGTTTATTTTTTTACAAAGTGCTTGACCTTTGATTTTGGATCAGTCAATGAATAATAAATAATAACATTATGTTAAATATTTTGTATTCGATTTTATAATTAGTAACTATTTTTTTTTTTGTTTATATGTTTATTTTTGTAATAAACTTTTTCAAAAAGTCCAACACATTAAAAATGCCTCCCCCATTTGTTATCATTTTCGAATATTATTGCACAGTAAGTTTACCTGACCTAAACACACTTTGCAAACATTTAAATAATATCGTTTTGTGTGCAATATAAAAATTTTTAAAATAGTTATTTTAACGTTCACATTCTGATAAAATTTTGGTTTTTTTTTTTATTATTCTACGGCTGCTAATTATAGGATTTTGTGTATAGTAACTGTCTACTCTGGTTCAGTGGCTTTTATCCAAAACTCTTCCTAAAAAACAAATTTTCTTCTAGATCACACAACACGTATTATATAAAGGTCACCACGTCATGTTGTTATATTAATATTTGTTTTTTACTACAAACCTAGTTTAGACAAATAATAATATGTTGGTAGGACAATAATTTTCTCACGTTGGAAATTAATTCAATTATAGTCAATGTAAAATTGGATAGAATAGTGGTTTTTTTTATAAAAAAAAACCACTATTGACATTAGTTTAGGTCATATAAACTAAACGGAACCCTTGAAACCCTTGACATAATAACACTTAATACCACTCCATTCTGTTTGGGCAATAGCACAATAGACCGACGGCTCGGTTGAACAACTTTTTATTAAGCTACTGGGTGACACATTTACCCAGTATAATAAATAATAATACATTATACGTTGGCAATACATGAATAGCAATCTTTTACTATGGTAGTTACAGTACCGATTGGCCCGATTTTTCGAATATATTCATTGAGTCGAAAATCGATAATAGGTTAACACAACAACGTTTGGTGCCATGACGACTCTAATATATGCTTATATGGGGCTACGATTTTTGTTTTATACACAACGGCCGTATAAGTGGCGCCGGACCTATTGTTTTACACCTACTATATGTTGTACATTTAACAGAGTAAGTGCTATGGATGTATAGTGATTGGTTTTATGTAAAACACTAACAGTAACAAATGTAGAAATTAGGTGGTGTATTAAAACATTCATTTAAATCAAATGTCGTACGTGGTTTTTTGGACTTGAGCACCACTTGACGGCATAAAAAAATACTTGTATAGGTTTATTGAATTCGTGTGTGTGTGTGTGTGTGAGGTTGTGTCAGTGGCATATTTAAGGGGAGGGGAGTGATAGGGGCAATCGCCCCTTCCCCTCTGAGAACTTTATCATCATACTATTTTGTCGTTTTGCTTTCCAAATTGATACTTATTCAGAAATTAAAAAATTAAAATTAAGCTTTATTCTCCATTTTTAAGTATTTAATTTAAAAATGATAAAATCAAAAAAAAAAATGCATTTGTGATTGTAACACAATAGTAGGTGTACATATATTACCAACACTATATATTATGTATACATACAAAAAATGTGTATACAGCTGTAGCGATCTGTAAGGAATACCCCATTAACACTTCTAAATTATTTATATTTGAACAAAATACTGAAATATTTTTATAAAGTGTTCTCGACAAGAGGGCAAGTATTAGATATTTATTGACCGTTTTGAAACCATTGTTTTATTTTGTTTATCGATTAAAGTCTAGTTGATGCCTCCAAGTCTTCAATAGCATAGAATTGGAATTGTGTACGCAATGCTTAACTTGAGAATCGGTAAATAGTTTTACATTTATTTATAATTCAGCTGTTCTCTTAACTCCTTCTCATTTGTTACTCCAATTCTGATATTTAAGTTTATTCCTATGTCCTTATAATTATAATAAATAGTTCAAATTTGCAGTTTTTTATTATATTATTTAGTTGATATGAATTTAAAAATAATCCCGAGTTGAATGTTTAGACAGTAGATTAATATGTTAAGACTATTTGTTTATTGTATATTTTAACATATAATATAATTGTGATCGGACTTAGGTCCGTATGAAATATAAAATAATATTTAACGTTACTTTTTAACATTTTTCATTTAAGTATAATATTATTGAAATTGACTCGGTTGTTCAGTATAATATCAAGAGTGATTTATTGGTCTTTAGGTATAAAACGTTTGTTTTAATTCGTTAAAAAATAAATTCAATGGCAAATTTTTGTATACCTATATGTATAACATGAGATGAACTCTATCAGTCGGTTTCACCAACTATTATTAAAATATACATTATTAACATAATGTTAGTTAATAATTCATATAAATTTAACATCTGGTTAAATTAAGTAAGTTTCATCATAACATTATTATTATTAAATTTTATTTGTTAAGTTAACAAAATGTTACTTGGGTTACCAAAGCGGTTACATTGATTCCAACGTTTTCATTGGTTATCACGAATTGTGGTAACTGATAAGTGATAATATTATAATTTTATATTTAAATCTCAGTTAATAATGTATAATTCGATCTATGGCACTTTAACATGCCAATTAACCCGATTTTCACTAACTTATTGTTAAATATAATTAGCAATAAGTTAAATACATATCAAATGTTGGTGAAATCGGCTGAGTAAGTATTAGTCTCGTACCTTGTACTATTATTAATACTTATATAGGTATTCGTGTCATCTTGTTTAAGTATCACATAAAATCAACTCAATCTTGTCGAACCTAAGTAAAGAATACATTCATATCAGTTTTATTTAATTGTACAAACTAACAATTTGCTGCTGGAATTATTACTAACATATGTATTTAGCCATCATAAAATCGTCACAAACGGCAAATAAGAGTTAATCAACGTCCATGCTAACTGCATGAACAAATTACTTGAAATTTCAGACAGATAACCAGCGTGGGTTGTTAACACTTAATAAAAAGGAATTGCGACATTTGACTCAGAGATATTGAGCTGATTTAGTTACCTTATGTTTTAAACGCATAGTTTCATAATTATTTATATTATTTTATAACTTTGTTTTTTAGTAATAATTGTATTTTTGATTGCTTTGGTCTCTTCTTTATAGGCGAGTACTTATTTTATATAATAATCTTGATGTTAGTTTTGTTCGTTTGTTATCTTTCCAAGTCCACTATAATCAAAAACTTCCCAAATTTGCATTGGTTCATAACATTAATAAAACATTGTTACATATTTTGTTTAGTGTTTATGTTTATTTTTTATACAAAGTGCTTGACCTTTGATTTTGGATCAGTCAATGAATAATAAATAATAACATTATGTTAAATATTTTTTATTCGATTTTATAATAAGTAACTATTTTTTTTTTTGTTTAATTGTTTATTTTTGTAATAAACTTTTTCAAAAAGTAGAAATGTAATACATATTAGTACTAACCACTAAAGACAAGTCCGACACATTAGAAATGCTTTGCCCATTCGTTATCATTTTCGAATATTATTGCACAACGATAATGAAACGTTGTTACATATTTTGTTTAGTGTTTATGTATATTTTTCATACAAAGTGCTCGGCGGTAGAAAATTCTAGAACGTGTGTAATGATAATATATTATTACAACGATGACGACAAAATACGTCACCGTATTAATTAATAATTATTTTTTTTTTTGCACTAACATAGTAGTTGCATAATCTCCCACGCCAGCCCGTATAGGGGAAAAGCGTCGAGGGCGCCTACACTGCGGCAGGGCCGAACGGGGAGCGCTAGAGGTGCGCGGCGCGGCCGCCCGCGACAGCATCCGCCGCGCGTGAAAACAGCGGCGCCGGTGGGCGTTCGATTTTCCACTAAAATATATAAGCGAGGTCGGCGGTCCGGCAGACGGCAGTGTACAATCAGTACTCGACGCGAACAACACGTGCACAGACGGTCTAAGTAGAAATTATATTTAAAAAACAAATTCAATACTTTTCATTCGGTCGATTTTCGAACAGTTTTTTTTTTTAAAAAAAAAAAACACCTATTTTATCCTCAACCGCCGCCGCCGCCGCCGCTTTCGACGTTCGTCCGGTTTCGAAGTCTTTGACAATCTTTTCGTCCGGTTTTCATAATTGTCGTTGCGTTTTCGATATTTCTCACACGCATAAATGGCGCACAACAGTGGAGTGAAAAGAGACATCCCCATCAAGTTGGGCAACTTCAGCGTGATCGACTCAGAGTTCAGCAACATCCGCGAAAAGTTCGACGCGGAAATGCGCAAGATGGAAGACGAGATGACCAAATTCCGTTCCGAGCTCATGAACAGAGAGTCAAACTTCTTCAAGACAACGTCCAAGTCAGTACAGTATACAGTTATTATTATGGTTACACTTGACAACAACAATAATCTACAGGCCGATCAATCCGCCGTCGCAGGGTCCCCACAAGGGGGAGGGGTCAGTTAGGGTCCCGGGAAAAAACCTAATATATATGTATACAATATTTCATCATTTAAATCCATCATGTTCATGGCCAGTTTTTGGTTTAAAGTAAGCTACTTTCTTCTATAAATGAACGAAATATGAAATTATTCAGTCAAGAGCTAAGTAGTAAATTAGGAAATCATCTTTTGGCTTGCCAGAGGTCTTCGATCGGCCAACAATGACTCACAATTCCCTTTTGCACTTTGATCAATTGAAAACAAACTTGCATCGAAAATTAACTTACATGAGTGTGTCAATAAAAATGTGTTTTAAACAATATATATTAGGGTAACTAAAATAACTGATGTTTTATAGAGGTGTATAACAGCAAAACAAGCTGTGTAACCAATATTTTAGGTACCTTTTGAAAATTAAAAAATTAAATGTTAGAATTTATATTAAAGTTATTATAAATACATCATTAATTTTACAGTACCGTACTTGAAAAATTCATGTGGGGGCCATGATCCGATGTAACTGATACTCATAACATTTATTTGTATCTCAAGATTGATCACCCTGTATGCGATAAACGATATCCATCCCCAAACGTTGGCATAAAGCTCACTTCTTTTTTTTTTTTTTGACACAGTATTAGTTAATATACAAACATACATTTAAAAGTACAATCATAATATTTCAAATAAACGCACAACAATAATTTCCAACGTTGCAATATTGAGCCCTTCAAAAGCAAAGTGGTAGAAGTCAAATTACAAAATCCATATTTACACTCGTTAAATGCACAAATGACCTAAACTCTAGTTTTGAAATCCAAGTTCAAAGACTTGTGTCTACTTACTTCCACGTTATACTGACATACACCACTTTGCTTAGGAAACACGATACTTTTTATAATTAATGTAATGCAGATGTTACAAGTGAATTTATTTTTCTAATATTTATGTTTTTTTTTTTTTTTTGTATAATCTTTTTCCGAATTGTAAAAAAAAGGACGTCGCACGTGGAAGAAAAGTCCTTGTAAGTACTCAAAAGAATAATTTTTTTTTTTCACAATTGGCATGTCGATTTTGTACATCGTTCGCCGACACGCGGGCACCGGCGATTAGCGTCTGCATCATATAGAATAATATTAATTTAGATACATTACTTTTTTAGTGTGTATTGCACGCCGGGCTATGAGTACCTATTTATCATTATACTACCTGTACAATGCACATATTATTATTATTCATTAACATCATCGCCGTCGTATAAAATATTGTGTATTTATTTTGAATAGGCTGTTGTAAATAATGTGCTGCGAGGACCTTAGATATTTGAGATATTGTTTTTTTTTGTACAAATATTGTATTTCTTAAGTCAACCGTTTCGACTAACGGACTTGTCTTGAACGAGTCGCGACCTCCAATATAGCTGATGTATCAATTTTGGAACTCTGAAGATATTTTTCGGTACAACAACAGCATAATAATGATGTTATTTTCAAACGATTCGAATTACATATTATTTTATTAAGATTCGACCGGCTGACCGTTTTGTGATGGCACTCTCGGTGGCCGGTGGTGAATCATCATCACATCATCTGTTGACATTGATTTTTTAGCGTTCTGCGTGGTTACGGGGCAAACAATGGGAGGTCGTGATGGGAATAACACGAACGTCATTATTGTTATACTACTATTGCAACGGGCAATAGCATAGGCAGGCAATAATTATCCGACAGATGCGCATAATCATTATTGTCGTCATCTTGACTCGACTTGAAGGCGGATAGGAACCGTACAAGCGCACGCTGACCGCTAACGTGACCCCTTTGTGCCGGCTATGGCGCCTTCTTAATGATTTTCCAAGTGTTGGCCGAGAAAACGAGCTTTGGTCTATTCCGCCGGCTGCATATTTATCGAATTTTCCACTTGGTACCCACTTGGGAACAACAGCTATGGTGCATGAAATACTGCATGTTAGCACAGTATATCCATTAGCGTGATGTAGTAAAAAAACAATCGTTAAGTATGCGTTTTTTTTTTTTTTTTTGGAATGTAGGTACACAAACTCTTTGTAAATGCGGCAACCGATAACATCATTTTGATAAAAAAAAAAAAAAAAAATACATTTATAATTATTACAAACGTTGATTCCACTCGCCGTAACGGTATGTGGGTCGTTTATTGCAAAAGCGGCGTATAACTGCAAATGTTTAAAATAATAAATAGATAAAAACCGAATGAAAACTACACAAATATATAAACCCTCAGCCATATGGTTATTTTAAATCAGTCAAATGTCAGCTGTAGCGCACAAAAAGCGTCTGCTAATATCTAAAGTTCGCCCGGACACCTTTTCGTGACATTTTAACACTAAACCTAAGCTGCTGCAAATTGGTAAAAATAATACACCAAAATGTCAATTTTTTTTTTTTGTATCGACGGTTTTCGTTTTGTTGTGTATTTTTTTTTTTTATTAATATCAACATTTTTTACCGTCGTGTTTCAATTTCACTGGTTTAAAACTTATAAGCGTATCACACGGGACTAGTTCATGTTCATAATACCTTATATGGATGCCACAAGAAACGGCTGTTGTAATTTATCAAATAACCGAACGCGTTTAGTTTATTAGATACACCATTTTTCACTGCCCTAATAACAAAAATGCCTAGCACGCAATTTCGGTCCTTTTTTTTCAGACAAGCAGCAAGCTATATCTATAGCTATGTTATTCGTAATTAATTATTTTTTTAATTCGTAATCTCATTAGGTTTTGGGTGAACGGTACAATCTAAATAGTTAGGCCGCACGACCTTCCTTTGATCGCCAAAACTGTAAATAAACAATAATAAAAAAGAATATATTTTCACGTGGGCTCTTTTAAATTATTAACCAGAAGTGGCCGGTGTCGTCCCACGGCTGTTGCATGAGAAACGTTGAACATATGTGTTTAATATGATTCGAATAATCATCACAAACAAAGAGCCTACTAAAGTCTAAAATCCATTGTAAATGTACGGGTTGTATGGTCGTCGACTACTTAGTGTAAGATTCCGGTGCACGACGTTGATTAATCGTCCAGGAACATCTTCAGGCTTTTCACGGGTCACATTATACCTATACTATTGTCTATTCACTGCTGGGCTTAGCGCACTCTTGTATTGTGTTATTATAATGTACTATATTTTGACCGTGCAATGAATGAGAAAACATTGAAAGTATTGAAAAGAAAAAACACTGGGAAAACGCTATCGTTTGTGTATGTCTATACTGTAATAATTATCATTATGTTTTTAGCACGCTATTTTCACGGTGTAAATACAACCATATTTTTATTCGGTTAGAGCATGTGTTTCATATATATATATATATATTTAGATGGTATTTGTTTTACCGACCAGACCAGACCAGACCACATAATATAAATAATAATTGTTAAATTTTTTTTTTTATAGCTCTCAAAACACCATCACTTCTAACCACAGCGACTTGCCGTCCAGTCGGCTGACCAGCGCCGCTGCCCCCAGCGGTTGGGTCGATAGCATCAACTCGCCTTTGATCCAGGAAGACGGTGACAGCAAATGCTTGAAGCTCAGGTTCGATGTCAGCCAATACGAACCCGAAGAAATCGTCGTCAAGACGGTCGACAACAAACTCCTGGTGAGCGAGAAACAGCTTTTCTTAGACCAGACTTTATATGCGTTACAGTATCTTTTATCACAGAAAAAAACAAAAGCATTCGGCCGTAGGTTATTAAATGATAACAAGTTATCACCGTTGGTTTTGACGGTCCCGCTCTATCCCGCCCATCGCGGTCCTTTTTGATTTTACCAAGTTATAACCAAGTTATACCAGTTGAAGAATAACATGACAGCTTACCCAAAACAAATGGAAATCTTAGACTTTATCAAAAAAAAAAAAAAACGGTCAGACATATTTACCTAACCTAACCTAACCAAACCTAACCAAACCTAACCTAACCAAACCTAACCTAACCTAACCTAACCAAACCTAACCTACCAGCACTGTCCGTTTGTCGGTCGTTTTCAAGATGTTTTCTTTTCTGTTTATTCCGCGCTTTTACCGTGGCAAACGATAGGGAACTCGATATACCAGATACCCGGTAACCGGTTGCTCGATTTCCGGTATTAGTTTTTTTTTATTGAGAATATTATAGGATCGGTTCTAATCCGGCGCGGCGCATATGGCCGACAAGAATCGGGTCGACCCTCAAAGCCGGAAACTTGTTTTTTTATTTTATATTTATACACATAATAATATGTAAGTGACGTTTATGTGTACACTAAATAATAATAATACTGCTGTGTGTAACGTTGGGCGGTACACACGCATAAACGATGAGGTGTTCGCACACAATACCGAATTAATTGTCCTCTCCTCCCACTGTTATCCGGGAAACGGCACGGTCGATCTGCAAAGACCTTCACACGTTTAACGGTATGCACACACGACTAATGAGACCTTGACGGAGTTGTTATTTTCGACAAACGAATTATTATTTAAAAAAGTCAATTATAGACTGTCCAGTTCAAGTCTGCAACAAATATTTATAGATTTTATTGACAATTCAGTATCACAATAAGGTACTCTTGTTTCACTTTTGAATTGGACACGATAAACAAACATATTCAGCCGGTTTCACCGACATTTGTTAAGAATTTAACTTATCGTCAATTATATTTAACAACTAGTTAGTGAAAATTGGATTTCATCGAGATTTGTTAGCCTTAACACATTGTTAAAACGGTTGTTAAATTAATCACCTGAACTCGGCTTGTTAAGAAGTTAATTGTCATGTTAAAATGCCATAGATCGTATTATACATTACTAATTGAGATTTAAATAATACTATCACTTATCAGTTATCAGTTATCACAAACTGAGTAACCAATGAGAACGTTGGAATCAAGGTAACCGCTTTGGTAACCTAACAAACATTTTACTAACATCTTAACTTTAACTGGTAGTCAATATAATATAATATATTTTCAACGGTTAAAATATTTCACATTAAACAGATAAAAGTACCTTACTAAGTGATATAAGAAATAAAATACTTGTAATAAAAAAGACGGAGGACAATTTGCGTTTTTCTAAAATATCAACCAGAGAAAAGTTAAAAAGATTTTAAAAAATGTACTTGATCATTCAACATAATATTATTGACCTTTATGTATATTGTAGATAATGTAAAACGCATATGAGGCTCCCTTGTCCTTATCTTTTTTTACTGTAGGTGTTTTAAAACTACTTTAAAGAAGGATACCAGGAAATCCATCGCTGATTTGTGTGAACATTTTTAGGTGAAAAAAATATTTTAAAATATCGCTGTCGAGGTGACATCACAGTTAAAATTAAGATTTTGCAAAAAATTGCCTACACCTAACTTCTTAAGACCCCTCTTTAGGAGTTTGGTATCAAGTCGCCAGTTAACCAGAGCGGTCCTGTGTCCTAGGATGTAGGATATAGTTTGTTGAGTGGTGCCTTCGTTTGAATATCCGGATGTTTTTTTCGTGCCATTGGTATATATTTTTTTATTACAATTTTTTATTTAGGTGTAAATACCCGCATGTCTTAAACCGCGGCCCACGCCTCACCCGAGACCTTGCAGTGTGCACCGCCCGTATTTAAACTCCATAAATGGTCAGGTCGAGCCTTCGGACCGCTTCGTCGATACCGTGCGCAAGTGTATCGCGTTTCTTCTTAGTGCTCTCTGCTCGGGTATTAATAAATAATAATACAAGGCATTTCGATCTCCGAATATTATTATCTAACCGTAGTATATAGTGTAACGCATTCTACCGGTTGCCTCTCGTAAGCGGGTCAAGAGTTAAACGCATGCCCAATTAAAGACTTGTCGAGGAGTACCACCGGGGATAATATCACTGTATTTCATTGCTTATCGTCCGAATTGTTTGGTTATTTATTTTTTACATTTGTGGCCGCACTCAAATCCGGTGTCGCAATTTATCGACTTGGAACCTTGGCGAATGAGTACAGCTGATATTGGGTTTACCCTTTAAGCGCAGTCTAGATAAAACCAGACGGTGCACTTTGTCATTTACACAATGAATGAAACCCTCCTAAAAGTTTTGGCACGACCACATTCTAGAAACGAAATCATTGTACAAAACATTTTACTATAAAATAATCAGACGGTTTCACCAACTAGTGTATTAAATACACTCTTAACATAATGTTAGTAAACGATTCATTTAAATTTAACATCCGGTTAAATTAAGTAAGTTTCACCATAACATTATTTGTTAAGTTAACGAAATGTTAGTTAGGTTACCAAAGCGGTTACCTTGATTCCAACGTTCTCATTGGTTATCACGGAATGTGGTAACTGATAAGTGATAATATTATAATTTTGTATTTAAATCTCAATTAATAATGTATGATTCGATCTATGACACTTAAACATACCAAATAACTTTTTAATAAGCTGATTTCGGCTGATTAACTTAACAATCGTTTTAACAACGTGTTAAGGCTAACAAATATCGATTAACCCCGATTTTCACTAACTGATTGTTAAATATAATTAACAATAAGTTAAATCCTTAACAAATGTTGGTGAAACAGTGCACATTGTCATTTACTGATAACTTGATCCCTCCTGATGTCAGTGTGATCACATATGGGGAATGCGATTATTGTACAAAATCGTTTTACTATAATATGTTATTAAATTATTTTTATAATATATCGGTGATAACGATACTTTAGCTTGGATGCTTAGTTGTGCACAAATTACAAATGGCGCATTTGTTGTTTTGAATTTTCCACCCTTTATCACCGACCCAACGAATAGCTTCCCCAAACTATCAGGTCTCAGGGCCTAACCTAACTAGCTGTTTACCATAAGATTACACGATAGGAAATAACATACTAGAAAACGCACGGCAAATGACGTGAGTCGTGCCGTGCTTTGCATACAGAACAATAATAATATGCTGTTGAGTTGATTATGTTTAATACGCCATAATGTATGCACTACGCTCTAGTAATTTATTCTTGAAATCACTGAACCGATTTTAGTCTGGGAAAAATATACAAAGGAGCCAACAATATTTTTACATTGCCGCCGGCAACGACTAACCTAACCTATACCTCCTACCGGTTAGATCATAAAACTAGATAGTGCACTCTAAGAAAATTGGAAAAAAATTAAACTTACTTGTTATCAGTATTTCTTATCAGTTAACGTTACTATTGTAAATAGCGTGTCAAATTTACACTAAATCTGGCCCTACTGAATTAAGTATAAACCAATCAAAAATCACCATCAATCTGTGGTTAGAGTAAAAAGAAAATCTCAAGTTCTCAGTTTTTGTGTTAAAACTAAAAAAAACGATTCGATGTTAAACCGATTGGTTTTCAAATGTATTCGTCTTTGTCCATAGACTGCAAGGTAACCGGCACACTAGTCTGTCCAAATATGGCTAAACAACGGCATGTCTAATGCCATTACCGTGTGTGATGGCGTCTACTTAGGAGACCACCCAAAATACATCATGTTATTATCATAGATTAAATAAAACCAGAGATAGTACACATAGTAAAATAATACATTTTCTTTTAACGGTTTTCGATTGGTTTAAACTTAATACTGCATTAAGTTTAAACCAACATGACCACATAAAAAATACAAAAAAGTCTTCACGGTACTCTAAATGATAAAATAGGTTTCCAATCCTTATCATAAAATATTGTTGTTCTTATCAAGATATTGTTATCACTGATATGTTATCACCACAGATTAAATAAAACCAGACAGTGCACTTCATAGTGAAATAATATATTTTCTAATAACAGTTTCCGATTGGTTTAAATTGAACGCATTAAGGCAAAATCGTACAGCTAAAAATAATGTACACTCTATTTAAAATGATAACGTTAACTGATAAGAAATACTCATAACAATTGGTTGATTAACGAAGATGGACGGTGATAACAGAGTGAACTATCTGGTTTCATTTAATTTGTGTTATTATATTGTCTTATCATTGGCATTATTTGTCACTTGCTTTGCTTTATTAACGGTTTTTGTTGATTTTCCATACAGGTACACGCCAAACACGAGGAGAAAACCGATTCGAAATCCGTGTACAGGGAGTACAACCGCGAGTTCTTGCTTCCCAAGGGTACCAACCCAGAAGCCATCAAGTCCATGTTGAGCAAAGACGGCATTTTGACAGTGGAGGCGCCTTTGCCCGCTCTCGGCGGACCCGACAAATTGATTCCAATCTCGCACCATTAAGCTGGTTTTGTTTTTTTTTTTTGTTTGTTTTTCCCCTTTTTACCACCTAGTGAACAAAACATCTTAGAAAGCATCAAAATCCATTTTTTTTTTTCAACCTAATTCTATTTATTAATAATTCTTTTTTAATTTTTAATTACAAAAAAAATCATATTGTTTATATATTGTATTACTCTACTTTTGTCTTTTCCCGTTATTAATATATTACTTTTTTTTTCTTTCTTTTATATATAATTTATTTACTTTAATGGTATATTAAAAAAAAAATAAAAAATACTCTTACTCGCGGCTTAATATTTATTTAATAGTATTATATTCAGTGTCATTACGCCTCGAGCTTTAAATCATATAGTATTATAAAGGTATATATTAAGAGCTACGGTATACACATTTCAAGCTGAAAAGTAATTTACACTAGTTCCTACCGGTATACATGTATTGAAAACGCGTTAAAGATTATATATTCTAATATATTATATTTTAGTACATAACGGAAATATATTTTTGCAAAAGAAAACCGCACAGCACAGCTGCTGTCTACATAATAATATTGTATTGTTAAATTGTCATTAACTATTATAAACATAAAAAAATATCTGCATTTTTCACACACTTTGTGTTTTTTTTTTCTCTATCCGTTTGTCCAAAAATGCCAGACTTGGGTGCTATGTGTCTAAAATTATCTCCAAATGCCCGAGGAACATATTTAGAACCCGGGCCATAGTGGCGAGAGTATTTTTTTGGACTCTGTTCAACTTCCAAACTGGATAGCAACTATGAAACGCTTCATTCGAGTGCACAAAACACTGAAAATAGACTGTTCCACGACAGCCTATATTCTGCACGACCGACACATTCTTAAAGGTTTTATTTTATTTTCCTTAAAAAATTCAGGTCATTCCTGCGATGCCAACCGAATGACGCAACAAGTAAGTTTATCGACGGAACGCCCTTCAAGACAATGGGGAAAAAAAATGGCTTTATTCCCATCTCTTAATGAGTTTGTACATTAGGTCTGAGGTGTAAGTGCCACCGTGCCACAAAAAATAATAAAATTGATTACAAAAATAAAAATAATTTTATATTCATGGCGTTTCAGTTGATGCGGTAAAAAATTATTATACACTACAAGTATCATAGTTAAAATGAAAAAAAAAAACTTTTATAGCTTTTTGTGAATACCAAATCACTATACGCTAATAGTGAAAATATAATGACAGATATATTATTTTCAGCCGATTCCACCAACATTTGTTAAGAATTTAACAATATCGTTAATTATATTTAACAACTAGTTAGTGAAAATTGGGTTTCATCGAGATTTGTTAGCGTTAACACGTTGTTAAAACTATTGTTAAGGTAATCAACCGAAATCATCTTGTTAAAAAATGAATTGTCATGTTAAAATACATTGTAGTATATATATATATATAATGTACATACTATTATAGTTGTTTTGAAATTGTTTTATAATTTATGTTGACCGAGTATACTAGTAATATATAATAATGAATTACTAATTTGATGAGGAACTTCTTTATATCGAGTATTTAGAGAACAATAGACATCTTCGATAACCCTTTTATTAGGTAAGTTATTTTATGTAGGTAGATTAGGTTAAATGGAATGACACATACTTGCATTATAGGCTTAAATATCAAAATTTATTGTATTTTGTAATTTAGATAATGTTATTATGTCTTGCCTGTCTTGAGTATAACAATGGAAATACTTCTTGTCACTACCTACTTTTGTTTTAAGGCCTTTAAAATAGAAAACAATTATTTTAATGATCTTGATGACAAACAATTTTTAGAAAGGTATAGACTATCTAAACAATGTGTTAAAAAATTATTTATCTAAACCGAATCGTTAAAAGAAAGTAAAACAAAATGCCAAATAATAACAAACTGACAAATTAAATAATACAATCACTTATCAGTTATCACATATCTTAATAGCCAATGAGAACGTTGGAATCGAGGTAACCGCTTTGGTAACCTAACTACCATTTCGTTAACTCAACAAATAGAATTTAACAATAATAATGTTATGGTGAAACTTACTTAATTTAACCAGATGTTAAATTTAAATGAATCGTTTACTAACATTATGTTAAGAGTGCATTTTATAATAGTTAGTGAAACCGGCTGTTTGTCTTGGATTTAATAAATCATAAAATAATCATATTTTATATTAATTTGGTAGAAAAAATGCCGTGTGTTACATGCTATATAAATGTTTAATTTTCAATTTATTCTTAAACCATAAGATATGGAAAGCTGTTGGTTCTAAGCTAATTATTTATGTGTTTTATAATTTAATTTTAATATTATTTAAATTCTAATCGAGACAGACGTTGACACGATCTACACTACTTTCAATTATATTTAAAATATATATCTTTGATCGACGCTGCTGTTAAAAACGTCCTAAAAATATTAGCAGATTTCATATCAATTTCAAAACAAATAAAAATGTGTAATATTTTAAAATAATTTATCGTTATAAATGGAGAAATTTAATTACAATAATTGTATTTTTAGCTTTCGTGGGATCATATTTATTAAATTATAGTTAAAAAAAACAGAACACAAAGTTGTTGTCAAGATTACTATTATTTTTATACCTAAAGCAGTTACTAGCTACAGTATTTTTTTTAATCTATTCTACACATTAAAAAATAATAGTTGTTTACAAGAAACTACTAATACTTTGATTGCAATAATAATATTAGTTCTATTTTAATTTCTAGGATTTTATTACTGTTTTTTAACCATTTATCATTAGTGTAATAATTATGTTTTAGCATGTTGCAGTATTATATGCCAGGTATATTTATTTTCAGTAACTTAATGTCTAATAATATTTAAAATACGATAATATTTATTTTTTATAATTTGATGATGGACTTTCTTAATATCGTTTACTCGACATAAACATTGTTGGTCAATATTTGCTCTTGACTTAATATTCTAAGGTGTGGTGATTTTTTTTTTCACGACTAGTCGAGTCTGTAAAATGTCTGAAACAGCCAAGGTTATTCGCGATAGCCCATAGAATTCTTCATAAAGATTTGTGTTGTGTCATATTCGAAAACAATAAAAGATGGTAGGATGATAACCGATGGATGTTGTTAAATAAGATTAAATAGTAAACAACGGCTTGAAACCGACTTAATAAGCGAGTTTAAATACCAGTGAAAACCTTTTGAAAATCTAAATCTAATTCCAAACTAAACCCCAAAAATAAAAGATTATTGGTATAAAGTTGAAACAAAACACAATATAATTTAAAACCCATACTTAAAATTAACACCAAACCTAACCAAACCTAACCTAATCTAACCAAACCTAACTAAACCTAACCTAACCTAACCAACCCTAACCATACCTAACTTAACCAAAAAAATTAAACCGGTTTAATATACCTAAATGCAAACGTAACCCCAAAAAAATGTCAAAAGGTTTTTAAAATCCAAAACAAAATTATGGTAGTACTCTTCGAACATAACTAAAATTTGATTAATGCTATTTTCAAATAAATTAAAAATAAGCAAAAGATACACTAAAAAAATGGTGGGAATTGAACAAAAAAAATTAAATAACTGATCATAAATTAAAATCAAAATCAAATAAATTATTAAATTTAAGTTAGTGAAATTAGGTATATTTAATATTATTTAAACCCTTATACACAGTACAGTTTTACTTTCACACAAATTCCCCTTTTTTCGGTGACTGTCTTTCCCAATAAAAATATGTATTGTAAATTTTTTAACCAAAATCAATAGCGCAAAAATTGTTAAACGGTATTTTAAAAGAAAACCTGATCTAAACATTTTTTTTTATTCGGTATCAGTTTAGATCTGTGTGGAAATTATTTTGTACTTGCGATTAATGAAGTTGAAAAATTTTTACTAAAATAAAGAAAACAATTTATTAAATGTCCATTTTTACTTATCACGTTATCAGTCAGAATCCACTGATAACACAACACAATTCGTCAAACAGTGTGACCACTTGATATTTTCAACTCAGTTAAAACCATTTTATCGAAAATACTATCAAAAGGAAAACAGAAATTTTGAAACAAATAAACATTGAATATTATAGCATCGGTAAGAGACTGCAATGATTCATGTTTAGCGCACCAGAACATTTATTATTTTACAATTGTGTGTTTGAAAGAATAGAATAAATCAAATAAAAAAAAAGATATCGTCTGCAATTGACACGATGCGTGTATTATTATTTTCCCCCAACACAAGACGAGAGAACTTTGCAGTTGAAGCATTACTTGAACGGTTCTCGAACGTCGTTTATTTATTGTAATTTATTCGTATTTAGCATTAAGTTTTTTTTTTTTACAAGTTCTTTGTGAGCTGCACAATACATACAAAAGGGGTCTTTTAAGTGTTCTCTTTCTTCCTCTCTCTCTGGCTAAGACCTAAGCAATAAGGTAGAACGTCTCAATCGGTTAATTTCATCATTTCTGTTGATTTTTGTACACAGATCTCGGTACCACACGGATTAAGGAATGCTTTTAAACAGTGTTTGGGCTGCGTTATTGTTTGAGTGAGGATTAAAACGTGCTGCGCTGTCATTCCTACCTTCGATAAAGCCATGTTGATAAATACACAATAATTCTAGTATGCAGTTATCGACTGTCAGGTAACGTGTTAAATATTTACTCGATTGCATTCACGTAGGATAAATATGTGAAACCGTCCAAGGACATAATATACAAGTGCATACACAACAGTTACGCATTATGCCGATCAAATGTTTTACCGTTTCTAATTAACTGCATATTATTTTTGTTGCGATACTGTTTTTATCAGTTCTTCTATTGCTTCACAATGCGGGCTAACATGGATACTATAATAATATTGTAGTGTTACACAATGTATGTGTACTTACTCAGTAATAACTATCAAGTTCAAATTTGCCACACTTCATAATTGTCAATATTTAGTATTATATCAGTTAAAAACAATTACAATAAAATATCAACGTTAGATAGCTGATACATTGATGAAACACAACATTTTGGATCTGTATAAATTAATAAAGTGTAGTTGATGAAGTTGCAAGTAAAAAATTCTTACTTAAACGAAAAAAACAAGTTTTTGGAAACTTCTATTTTTGTTTATCACGTTATCAGTCAGAATCCGCTGATAAGCGATAACACAAGTGATAACATATCACAATACATCAAACAGTGTTATCACTTGATATTTTAAGATCAGTTGAAATAATTTGATCAACATTGCTATTAAAATGTGCCCCGCATTCAAATCTACCCCGTCTTCAACTATTTAATATTTATATACATGGTGGTATATGTATTTATATATTTTTAACATTTTAGCGGTCCCTTCGCGGTCTGACACGCATTCAATTAGTAGCTGTAAGCTACAGCAAATGCCTGCAATGGAAATAATACAATGCTATAGGGGGATTCCCCTTCCGACTATTCGGGTGTATAATATGAAAAAACACAATAGGCTTGATGAATTTGCGAATTTAGTGTAATGGGTCAGCTTACAAAAATCAATAACTCCCAAGATATTAACCAAGTTTTTCTCATGAGCAAAAATAAGTTTAC